AAATGAAAGAAAGGGAGGAATCACCAGGAAAAGACCTAAATGAAATAGAGGCAAACAGTTTGTCAAAGAAAGAATTCAAAGTAATGGTAATAAGGGTGCTCAAACAACTCAGTGAGAATTACAAGCAACTTACTGAGAATTATAAGGGACTTCATGAGAGCTACCCCAACATGAAAAGTGAGGCTGAAACAATAAATAAGAATCAGTTGGAAATGAGGAATGACATAGCTGAAATAATGAACACCCTGGAAGGATTCAACAGTAGACCAGAAGAAGCAAAGGACTGAATCAGCAAATTAAAAGACAAAGAAGAAGAAAAATACCCATTCAGTGCAGCAAATGGAAAAAAAAAAAAGAATTAAAAAGCAGGAGGAGAGTCTAAGGGAGTTTTGGGACAACATGAAATGTAACAACATTCACATCATGGTTTGGTAGAATTAACATTATTAAAATGTCCATACTATCCAAAGCAATCTATACATCCAACGCAATCCCTATTAAAATACCAATGGCATATTTCACAGATCTAGAACAAAGTCTCCAAAATTTATATGGGATCAAAAATGACCCTGACTAGTTACAGCAATCTTGAGAAAGAAGAACAAAGTTGGAGAAATCACAATACCAGATATTAAGTTATAATACAAAGCCACTGTACTCAAAACAGAATGGTATTGGCACAAGAAAAGGCATATAGATCAATGGAACAGAACAGAGAACCCAGAAATTGATCCAAGCCATTATACTAAATTACTATTTGACAAAAGAGGCAAGAGCATGCAGTGGAATAAAGAAAGTCTTTTCAATAAAAGATGCTGGGAAAACTCTACAGGTCCATGTTAAAACAAAACAAAACAAAACAAAAAAAACACACAAAAAAAACCAACATGAACTAGACCACTAACTTACACCACACACAAGAATAATCTTAAAATGGATAAAAGACTAAAATGTAGGTTGTGAAATCATAAAAGTCTTAGAAGAAACCATAGGCAGCAAAATCTCAGACATCTCTCGTAACAATATGTTTACCGATGAATCTCCTAGGGGAAAGGAAACTAAGAAGAAAATAAACAAATGGGACATAAAACTAAAAAGCTCTGCACAGCAAAAGAACCATCAACAGAATGAAAGGAGAGTCCACTGCATGGGCGAACATATTTACCAACAATACATCTGATAAGGGTTTAATTTCCAAAATACATAAAATACTCCTACACCTCAACAAAAGACAAACAATACAATAAAAAAAAAAAAAATGGGCAGAGGACCTAAATAGATACTTCTCCAAAAAGAACATACTGATGGCCAAGAGACATATGAAAAATGCTCAACATCACTAATCACCAGAGAGATGCAAATTAAAACAACAATGAGGTATCATCTATCAGAATGGCTGTCATCAACAAACAAGTGCTGGCGAGGACTAGGAGAAAAGGGAACCCTAGTTCACTGCTAGTGGGAATGCAGACTGTGCAGCCACTGTGGAAAACAGTATAAAGTTTCCTCAAAAAATTAAAAATGGAACTGGCATTTGACCCAGTGATCCCACTTCTAGGAATATATCCTAAGAAACCCAAAACACCAATCAGAAAGGATATATGCATTTCTATGTTCATAGCAATGCAATTACAATAGCTAAGATTTGGAAATAGCCCAAGTGCCCATCAGCAGTAGATAAGTGGATAAAAATGCTATGTACATTTACACAGTGGAATGCTATATGCAGCAGTAAAAAAAAAAAAAAAAAAAAAAAAAAAAAAAGGAACTCTTACTATTTGCAGCAGTATGGATGAACCTAAACAGTATTATGCTAAGCAAAATAAGCCAGATAGAGAAAAATAATATCACATGATCTCATTCATATGTAGAATCTAATGAGCAAAAAAACTGACGAACAAAATAGATCCAGAGACATAGAAGCATGGATCAGTCTGATGAATTTCAGAGGGAAGGGGTGGATTAGAGAGAGATTAACTGGGGAATTTATATGCATACTAGATGCCCCGTGCATGAATTTCATGCACGGGGTTGGGTTGTGTGCCCCTCTAAGTCCAGCCTGCACCCTCTCCAATCTGGAACATCCTTCTCACAATCCAGGACTGTTAGCTCCCAACTGCTCGCCTGCCTGCCTGCCTGATTGCCCCTAACTGCTTCTACCTGCCAGCCTGATCACCTCCTAACCACTCTCTTGCCAGTCTGATTGGTGCCTAACTGCTCCCCTGCTGGCCTGGTCACCCCAAATACCCTCCCCTTCAGGCCTGGTCACCTCTAACTGCCCTCCCTTGCTGGCCTGATCGCCCACAACTGCCTTCCCCTGCTGATGATCTTGTGGTGGCCATCTTGTGTCTACATGGGGGTGGGCATCTTTGACCACGTGAGGGCAGCCATCTTGTGTGTTGGAGTGATGGTCAGTTAGCATATTACTTCTTTAATATATAGGATGTGCAGAGCCCAATAGTCTGGTGAAGGCCTGGGGAGTGGGTGGGTACTGGGTAGAGGGGGTTGCTGGGGGGAAAAATAAAAATGAAGGGGACATCTGCAATAACAATGTAACAATAAAGATAAATGGAAAAAAAATCTCAAAACTCCCACTGAAACATGACCGTGTGTCATTATCCTGTACTTGGGAAGCACAGCGCCCTGGAGTTCTGTTCATTAACGGAGCTGGACTTTCCCCGTGTGAGACGCCCTTCCCATCCACTCTGCTCAAGTCCCCACGCAGCAGTGGTGGGGACACAGTCCACATTGTGCCCCATATAAGCTGTAGGAAAGGAAGCCAGCTCTTTTTCAAGGAGGAAGAGCTTTCTTTTAAGCTGGAATTTTAAAATTCCAAAGGGAGTGAAAGCTCAAGGCAGAAATTAAAGGAGAGAGACGGGGTCATGCCTAGTGAGGAGCTGGGGAAGCAGGAGGGAAAAGAGAGGGACCATCAGGAACACGAGGTGGCGGAGAGGAGAGACCAAAAGGGAAGGAGGCCGGGACCAGTTTGGCTCAGTGGATAGAGTGTCGGCCTGCGGACTGAAAGTTCCCGGGTTCGATTCCGGTCAAGGGCATGTACCTTGGTTGCGGGCACATCCCCAGTAGGTGGTGTGTAAGAGGCAGCTGGTCGATGTTTCTCTCTCATCGACATTTCTAACTCTCTATCCCTCTCAGTGTAAAATCAATAAAATATATATTTTAAAAAAAAATAAAAAAAAGGGAAGGAGGAAAAGCTCAAGAACTGAGGGAGAATAAGGACGAGAAGCCACTATGGCGTATGTGTGTCACAGTCACATTCTACACGTTTATGCCATCCTTTTCATCTCCTACATCTTTCTTCTACAAAGGATTGTAGATTTTAAATTTTATCCATCAAAGCTCTTATCTCCTCACCCAAGTAGGTCTACAGTGAAAAACAACATCAAATGACTTTTCAAAACAAGTGAGTTTAACATCTTTACTTTGGTCATTGTCTGAACAATTGCAAATGCTTAAGATGTCTCCATCACTTTCATAATCATGTAAGGTTTAAAAATTTTTAACTTCAAACAGCACCACCTTCACATACTCCTGATAAACTTAAGAGTCTTAAGGGACTACAAATTCTCAACCTTCAAGGGCCATTCCCGTCATCCCCACCGTGGCCTAATTTTCCCACTCCTCTCAGACTCCCCCCCACCTCCAGGCAACCATGAACAAACTCTCACACTCTGCCTTCGGGTATAGCCGAGATCTCTGCACTAACAATTCCTGGTCTTGGACCTGCACTCCCACAACAGCCCCAAAGCTCACTCTGCACTCAGTCCGGTGCGCCCGCCGGCAGACTGAGCCACTCCTTGGCTCAGAATCTGCAGAGCAAATAGCAAGTAGCTGAGTGTAGGCCCACTGGCCACATCTGACCTGCCCCCTGCAAGATCCCTCCCCTGCCACCCACTCCAGACGATGTGTTTCTACCTCATTCTCAAACGTGCCAGGTGTGCTTTCTTTCACACGAGGGCCCGGAAGTCCCTGATATCTCAAAGGCTCACCTCCTCACTTCATCAAGGTCTCTGCTCAAGTGACACTTACCAGGCCTTTCTGAGCCCCTCACAAAAGACAGCAAGCACCCCTCCCAGGGTATCCCCAACCTTCAGACCTCAGCCCACATGCCACCACTTGACACATGTTGATGTACAGGTGGTCTCTCTCTTAAAACAGAAGTCTTGTGAGCAGTCACAAGCCTTGTGACACATTATTAGCACTCGATAAGTATTGCTGAAAAAATGAAAGAGCAGAAGCATGAACGCACATAAAATCTCTAAGCATGCTTTCTTAGCATCTTTTAAAACACAGGTGAGGAACTTCCAATCAATATGTGTCACAGTGCCAGCCTTCATATTAATTTCACTCAACCTAAAGGGTAAATGTCAAGCAGTAGGTAACACTCATTGGCAAAAACACAAGGTAGGTGTTTCTAGCAATGCCTTTCAAAAGTCACAGGCTGGGGACCTGGCGTCCTGAGCACTGCTGGTAGGAATCCGTGGGGCTGTGACTCTAATTGTGTGCACATTTCCGCCTCTTCACCTTTTTTCAGGGCGTGGTAACAGAACGCATATGACTAATGTCCTTCACGTTAGGGATCCTGCCAGCCTTCAAGACAAAAGTCACCAACCCTACTCTAGGCTACTGTACGTATCCACTGGTTTTAATATGCTTGTGTTTTAAAATAGGGAAGTGCCAAACACTAGCTTGCACCAAAAATCATCCGACCAACCAACTTTTTAAAAGAATAACTCAATTTCCTCTCTCTGCGTGGAACCTGGGAAAATCTTCCCCATCATCCATGGAACCCCCGCTTACTAAAACCAAACCTTTCTGTCCAACCCTGAAGCCTGAAGGCTCCTGCCCGTGCCCGATAGATGCCACAGCCAGTCTGTACCCGTGACTGAGCTTTTGGATTGAGCCCTTTGCCCCCGAGGAGCAGGTCACACATGAGAGCAAACACCAATGCCCTGAGCACGAGGCTCTCTGCCCCAGCTCACCACTTCGTCCTCGGTCCAGCACTTCTCGATCAGCTTAGGCACAGGCTTCTTGACCAGGCGCTGCAGGGCTTTGCCAGCGTCATATCCGCTTTCGTGGAGCTAAACAACAAGGGTTTTAGTTAGTTATTGCGACAATAACAGACAGGAAGCACATCAATAATGGGAAGCCCCAAGTTTACTCGACGAGGACTGTTAACTGGGCACACAGACTCACACTCATCTCAGTCATCAGGATAATCTGCTTCTACTCGGCCACCCTCCCAGTTCCAGCTGTTCTGAGAGGGTGACAGGTAGGCAGGGGACCTTGTGGCAATGACAAGAATGGAATTACGAACAACAGTATTTACTAAACAGCTGGCCTGGCACAGTGTTGAGCACATCCCTGCACTCATTATTTTTCTTAATCCTACAAGGAAGGTATTCTCTCATGGAATCTTATGGGACAGGCACTATTATCACCCCATTTCACAGATGAGGACACTAAGGCAAAGCAAGGTCAAGTAAAGGTGCTCCCACACGAAGCCAGTAGGCAATAGAGCCAAGAGGCTCAACCCAGCCAAGGTGATCCTTATTCAGTCCCACTCTCCCCAAAGCAGCCCAACACACTAGCTGATGCTCTTTCTCTTAAGTCTTTAAACTACAGTAATTTCCCTAAGAAAAATCTCAAGTACTAAATGTAAGAGCTTTTAAAAGAAACAAATAATTCTGTAACAGTATACTAACATTTCAGGACACTGAATGAAGATGCCTGTTATCTACACATTCTAATGGACTTCTCTCACTCCAGATCCTGTCTGAGGGCAGGCCGGGCCTGGCCCACTGCCCTCTGTCTCCGGCTTGCTTCCTGTGACCCCACCCACTCCTGGTCCCCTAGTTTCAACTTGTGAACGGCGGAGAGAAGCGGCGGGCAGAGAGACCCTCATGCTCACTCTGCCTTTCCACATGTGGCCATTCTGCCAGAGCTCTCACTGGACACCTGCCGTTCCCGCTCAGGTCTGTTTCTCCGATACAAGCACCTGTTTGGGCTAAAACTTGTGCCTCCAGGGACTAGCACAGGCCACAGCATAAGGTGACCCAGAAGAAATCCTCGTTAAATTAATTTCTAAATACCTTTAACGAGTGTCACTAGGTGCCTGAACCCAAACCGAAGTCTCCATGTACTTGCATTCATTCAGCCCTATGTTACCACCAGGCGCTGTCCCAGCGACAGAGCAGGCAGAGGCTCCCTGCCCTCGGGGCGAGGATGCTCATCTTCCCCCCTTGCTTCAGCGTCTTGTTTGAACACACCACTGGTATTTGCTGAACACTCAGTACAAGTAAGTCACAAACCGTATCAGGTCACAGTTTCCATTTCCAGAAAACGCACAGACTAGTGGGGATGTGTTACGAGGATACAGCACACACAAGGTGACAATACCAAGCAGGCTGTAGAAGCCGCTGCCACCAAGGTGCAGGCAAAGAGCACGACTCACAAAGGAGCGCGCCCTGGTCTCTTCTCCTTAGTGACAGTCTCAGAGGGATGCAGACTGCCTTACTAGCAACTGCTGTCGCCAGGGCTGGCCAAAGCCTGTGGTACTTGTTGAATGAAAAAACAGTTCACAAATACTCATTCGTGGAAACAGCATGCATTACATATTAAAATGTCCTGAGCATTCTCACAGTTTGGAGGTCCCCAATTCATTTTAAATCCAGACTGTCCAAAGAAGCCAAGGCTATATGTTAATTATAACAACAGTCGGCTACTTTAAAACAAGGCAAAACGCCTGCAAGGTGAATGCTGATGTGCTGTGGTGGAGGTACGGTGTGCAGGGGTGAGGGAGTAGGATATGGATGCTAGGTATTAGCTTATGTACTTTTATAAAATTTAGCATTAGACTATTTTAAAAAGAAAAGCATATATTATAAATACTAAATACTCAAAGTTCTAATTTTGCAAATGCTTGAAAACTGTCTAGTCTTCTTTCAGAAACGTAAAATAAAAATAAAGTTAGATTTTCATAGTTTGCCTAATATCCAGACCAAACAAGTATTTGCCAAATTCTATAATATAGTGAGGATCTATAAAGAGAGCTTAACAATCTTGATTGGATCTGAATATCTGAATAAAAGGAAAAATTGCATGCCTATTTAATTTTTTAAAAAGCACACATTTTAGTGATAATTTGAAATCAATTTGATCAAATTATAAATTCTTAATAAAAAGCTCATGACAAATGAACATTTTACAAAAGGTAATTACGGTACATGGGTAATTACAAGGAGTGATAAAAACAGTGGACTTTGGAGCCAGAATATGGATTCAAATCCTGGCTCTACTGCTTACCAGGTGTGCGACCTCAGCACGGTACTTATCCCTCTTTAGCCCCCAATTTCATCACCTTCAAAAATGAGTGCAATAATAAGCCTAGCTCTCGGAGCTCTTGTGAGGATACCAAATGCACGTAAATTGCTTAGGACTGTACCTAGCACAGAGTATGCTAAGTGAGTATTAGCCATGTAGTTTTAAATAGGAAAGAGAAAAAATAAAGGGAATGGTCTCATATCAATCTTCATCTATTTTCCAGATATAGAGAGTAGCCTTCTCAGATATAGAAAAAGTACTGGGTCCAGGTGGGTTAGCACAGTGGTGAGTGTCGATGCATAAACCAGGAGATCAGGGTCTGATGCCGGATCAATCCTCAGTGTGGGGTGTGCAGGAAGCAATTGAACAATGATTGTCTCACATCATTGACGTTTCTATCTCTCCCTCTCCCTTCCTTTCTCTGAAATAAATAATAATTTAAAAATACACATATTAAAATGTAATTGTTAAACTATAAACAAAGCCACTTACATTACAGCTAATTACATTAATAATTTACCAAATTTGATTAAAACTCTAGTTCAGTACACAGAAATTTTTTTTTATTTTTTTTAAATACATTTTTTATTGATTTTTTACAGAGAGGAAGAGAGAGGGATAGAGAGTTAGAAACATCGATGAGAGAGAATCATCGATCAGCTGCCTCTTGCACACCCCCCACTGGGGATGTGCCCGCAACCAAGGTACATGCCCTTGACCGGAATCGAACCTGGGACCTTTCAGTCTGCAGGCCGACGCTCTATCCACTGAGCCAAACCAGTTTCGGCAGTACACAGAAATTTTAAAAAAATATTTTAAACCTCATGTGGCTGATAATAGGAAATTACTCAGAAGAACATAAACGCCATTGCAAAGTGAACGAGTGACTGAAGGGCAGCCCAATGTCAGTCCTCCCTAAGACAGGCCTGCCTGTCAGTGAGCTCGGAGAGCTGTGAGCTGGGAGAAATGTTCTGAATAAGTCACTGAGCGTGCGCCTGTGGCTGTCTGTGTCAGAGGCTGGCCACTGCCCGCAGGACCCTGGGTTACATTACGATGTCAGAGAAAGGCACATCCTCCTGAGCGGCCCAGTACTCTGCCTTCTTTACAAATCTTGATCTGAGCTCTCACTTTCCCTTGAAGAAGCTGCTGCAGTTTCTGTGGTGACCTGACTTCCTTCCGCTCCTCTGATCTCTAAATAGTGGTAGCCCCTCCCTTTGGTTTGATCTACTGTCCGGTTAAAGTAGTCCTACTTCTGAAAACATTATGTTCCATACATAAACCCAATATATACTTAGAGTGTCTACCGCTCCCACTTCTAGGAGAAACACACTCGAGAAGGAAGAGGAGACCGTCATGGAGCACACAGGCGGGGACGCTGCTGTCGGCATCCGCAGCGGCAGCCCGGAAGCTCGGTCACGGGCTGGCCCGCATGCCTCTCCCGCTTCCAAGGGAACCTTTCTCAATAGTCCCCTATTCTTCCTTTTGTTTAAAAACACACATATCGTTTTAATCCTCATCAAGGGTATGTTTATTAATTTTAGAGAGAGGAGGGAGGGAGAGAAACAGCGATCAGGGGATTGAACCTGCACCCTAGGTATGTGTCCTAATGTGGAACTGAACCCGCAACCTGTTTGTTACATGAGATGATGCTCGAACCAGTCACTTTCTTAATGTTAAAAACATTTATTTCCACTTCCCAGGAGTCCTGGCTGAGGAAATTCTGAGAGCTTTAAAGAAGTACTTTGGTTATGTTTTACTAAACATATGCTTTTTATCTCCTCAACGTTAACACAAGAATGAGGATGATGTGTTGAGCACTTTGGGGAAATTACTGGCGTTCAGGACACCCTCCAATCCTTCCACCACGCTCCCGAGTGTCACACTGGTCCCGGTACTGCTCCGGGTCCTGGGAGAGCCGCTGGGAGCATCAGGAATGCCAGGCTGAGATGGCGCCTGTGAGAAGCCGTGTGAAGCAGCGGTGGCCAACCTTTCGGTCCTTGCGGACCACTGCTTGGCGACCGCTGGTTAAAGTTCTGGTTCCGTGTGACATCTAACCAGATGTCCCGCCACACACTGGGCTCCTAAAGGCTGGATTTACCGACCGCCTTTGCTTCGTGCAGCAAGCCCTTCTTAAAAGGGGTTTGCTTTCCATGTGCAGACTAGGGCCCAAATAATGTTTGAGGAAGAGCTAAACCGGATATTTCAACTCTACTCCTCATGTAAATTAGAGTTTCCTAAGTTTGCCTAATACCGCCTATCTTAAATCTGCAAAAATTGTCATTAAAAACATCCCCCTCTGATACAGCATCTAGCTCTGAAGAATTAGAATTATTTCATCTCATGAAAAACATTATATGCGTTTCCATGTTAAACAACTGGTCTTGCCCGCACAGATATATCTATAGAGCAGGAAACTCGGCTCAGCTTCCCAACATTGCTAAGCTCATGTCCTTTAATAAGGATAAGCTTCTCTACCATTTCCCTGAAGAAATTGCAACGCGGGTGTGTGTGTGTGTGTGTGTGTGTGTGTGTGTGTGTGTGTGTGTGTGTGTGTGTCTACCCTCAAATGCCTTCCAGCTTCACTCTGTAGCCTTGGAAAGCAATTAAACAAGATAAATAAACCTGTCTGTCCACTTTGTAGCCAAGCCTGGCTGGTAAAATCTGGGATTAAATGCAATTTTAATGTGGAGGATAGGGATCTGTACCATTTTGGAGCCTCTGGGAAGAGATCATTGCAAAAAGCAGGGACCAATCAGCT